ATGTAAAAAACATTTGCCTGTTGGAAAATTTTATAACAGATAAAATGATGATCGTATAAGTAAACGTAATAAAGAAATTGTAATAAATTTTACAATATGTTATTGTAGATTAACACGAATGGTATATGCAGAGAAATTTATGTTAAAAATTACAAGGAATTTTATGGTAATTTAAAGATAATGTGGTGTGAGGATAAAAATGACTATACATATTGTAAAAATTACTAAACTGCATAGTAATTTTTAGGGTAAAATTAGAGTAAAAATTACTATACATATTGTAGAAATTACTGAACTGCATAGTAATTTTTAGGGTAAAATTAGAGTAAAAATTACTATGCAATTTACTATACATTTCTCTGCGTGTAGATATAAAATTAAAATTGTAATTATAAATAGATATTAATATCTATTTAATTTTGTCACTAATGTAATCTTTACCAAATTATAACTAAGAGAATCACGATCAGTAACTCATACTTTTTTTTAAAAATATTATTGATAGATAATAACCCGAAGTGTGCTAAATAATTTTCAGCACATTTTTTTTTTAGAGATAATATTATAATTGATTAATCAATATTGCATATCAAAGAACTGGTATTAACTGGTAAAGTATCATAACAAAACTCTCCAAGCGTACTGATCTGTGAAAATAATTTGATCGTAATTAACCTTTCGTCAGTCGCGCTATGAGGGAATTGCCGTAAATTTTTTATACTTTGAAATAAAAAAGAAAGTAAAATAAATAAAAGCTAGAGGTTCAAGCTATTCTTCAATTGAACTATTTAGAATTTATTATTGATAATTATAAAATAATTTAATATTAATATTGAAAATATGAGCATTTACAGCGATTTCCTCATTGTGTGACCAAACTAAGTCGAAAATTCGACTCACAATCAGTGCTTTCATTATTATTATCATTTAATGAATTAATCAGTTGACATCAATTCACTTTCGCTTTTCTAATTGGTCACTTTTTGAAATATATACTTCATGATAAAGGAATTTTTTTTTTACAAAACTTTATTATGTGATGAACTTGATTATTAGATACATTTTATTATTGAGGTAGTTTCAATTAATTATCCTGATAAAAACAATAATAAATGAAATTTTTAATGAATAGAAAATACAGATGAAAATGTTTTTTAGTTTAAACATACTTTCGCTATTGCATTTATCTAGAGACATAAAGAAAAAAAAATAATTGTTTACAATGGATATTTTCTAATACGTTGAAGCAATTAGAAATTAACCTCTTGATGATAAAATATACCCGTTGAAATATAATTATGTTGTCATTGAATTAATTTATATTATAAATCATCAAGTTTTTGTCAATATATTAAAAATAGTTCAGCAGATACTCAACTAAAATCTGTTGATTTGTTGAGCACATAGGTTCATGAGATCCTGAGACAGACTTTAAAATATTTTTTAAACTTCAAAGTCTTCAATCACAACTTTGAAGTTGAAATGTAAATTACAAGTACAGCATCATACATATAATCTAAGCCTCATTTATGACTTTAATTTTGTTCTTTCGTCTGCTCAAACAAAGTGGAGGTTAAAAAAGGATCTTATATAAAACTTATTTCAAACCTCGAAAATCCCATAGAAACAATGTTATAAAAATTTATGATGATATTGATGACCAAAATAAGATTTTTAGATCAATTTAAGACATCAAAATCTTCAATGAGGTTGATGATTCCTTAAATGGAATTAAATTACAGACAGCAGTTGGAATAACAAAAGAATTGAAGATGTAATAGTTGAAACTGAACTTTAAATTTAGTCTCGGGATGCTTGAATGGAAGTTTAATGTTGAATATTTAAGGAAAATTTATTTTTATTCATTTTTTAATCTGAAAACTAGTAAATACATTAATTATTAAATAATTGTCATCATTTGCTGTAATTAATAACTTCTAAATCTCAATGAATAAAATATAACTTTCATTCATCCATAAAATTAAAATAATAAACGATTAATAATTGTTTTTATGATCTTTTATTAGATGAGCTTTCATCCCCTATCTGTGCAAACAGCAATATAATTTTACCCCTGCATTGTGTTTATAGGGTTCATACGAGGGATGTTTACCCTCTGGTATTTAATTATGAGTTTTATCTATTGAGTGTGTAGACAAATTCCACTTGTATATTTTTTGACATACTCAATCGATTCCACTCGTAGACAACAAATAATCATCAACATTACCAACAAAAAAAAATATTCCCTCTTCAAATTAAAACTTAAAAAAACTTTTTCACATTCTTTTTTTGGACGAACAGATTTCCTCTATAAGAAGTGTAATAGAGAGTCACATTCCTCAAGACGAAAATGAGACATAATCATTACTTAATGTATGGAGATTGGGACTCTACACGTGGGCCTCACGTGGTTTCCTGCATTGAGTTTTTCCACGTCTCGAATATGAAGACACATATGTGCAATTTCGCAATACAAATGTGTTAAAATCATATGCGTGAATGCAAAAGATGTAAAAAAAAATCTGAAGAAACGGAAATGAATGATTAATGAGAGTAAGATAGAGATACTTTAGCTCATTTATATCAATGCGTTCAACGACCTGTGGTCCATTTTAGTTGAAGATAATAATCACACAAAAAACTCATATCTTATATATAATTTATAGCACTAATCATCAAAACTTTATAGAGTTGATGAATAGCTTATTTTCAATCGTCTGAATAAATTAACAAAGCCCAAAAAAAGGGACAAAATTTTAGTAATTACTAGAGGGTGAGAGGACGCTCAGTAAATCTCTCATGTCGTATCTTCCAGTCACAGCATCTTTTTCCAACTTTCCCTTCTCTCCTCTTCCCACCTCTTTGCCTCTTTCTCTTTTAAACTTTCCTCTTCTGCGTCCGTTTTCTTTATCTTTTAGCATCAGAGTTCCAACTATCCCCTGCCGGCTGTCCAGAACCTGAGAACGATTTATTTTTGAACCCTTGTGAATTTAGTGGTTGGCTACCGTCTTCTTCAAAAATTATCTGTCGTATAGATAATAAAGGAATCAGGAATTAATTATTATTTCTCGAGACTGTTGAATAATGTCTAATTCTTATCAAAAAATTATTAAATATTTGATGGTCGCTTTCATGTGAAATTCTTAGGTAAATACGAATTTTAAAAGTATTGAGATATCTGATAAAAATTGGGGCAATAAAAATTGCTAGTTATACAAACTTTTGTATTTTATCTTTTTTCATGCTGTTTCGTCAAGTTTATGGTTACTTGAGTTATTTTATTTTAAACATTAATAATAATTTATTTTATTACATTTTTAATGCCCAATTCATTAGTTGATGATTCTTTTTTTTTAATATTAATAATTAGAATAATGAAGGCATTATTTTTAATGATTAAATATATTTACAGGAAAATAAATAATAATTTTAAAAAACCACTCAAAAATAACGCTTAAGAATTCTTTCACTTATTTTTAATATTTGCTTTTTTAGTGATAATCAAATTTTTCATTTTTGTATTAAATTTACATTTTTGTGTTAATTAAAGGTGTAAACAAAAGATAGTATGAAATTAATGATGATTAATTATTTTTTAAATAATTAAAATGATTTTAAGAATGGAATAGAAAGTTAAACAAATTTTAAGATGATTATCTCATTGTTTTACCTAATTCTTCAAGTATTTCATAATTCATTACGAAATTTGGGGAAAAAAAAAATACAACAAAAAGTACCTGATTCATAAGGACCGCTCTTAGAGAAGATTCCCGTGTAGAAAAGGTCTTAAGAGTCGATTCTCTGTCATTCCTATCCGCCGCAGGTGGTTATAATATATTCCCATGTTACAAGCAGTCAATTCTAGGCTTATTAACTACCACACTACATTTTTTACAAACAGGAAAATATATTTGCCAAGCTTTCTGCACCTTTGTATAATAAGAGAGTGGTAACATTATGAAATAAATATTGTGATAAAAAATTTTCTGACTATTATAAAATGGTAAACATTTTATCCAATAACAAGACCCATTTATAAACGATAAAAAGATTATAATCTTATGGGATTTATACAATTTCTTTATTTGAAAAAAAGGATTTATTTTTAAAAATAATAAATAGAAAAGTATTTGAATTCAAATAAAATAATTATTATAAATACTATATTTTTATTTTTAAAAAATAATATTAAGATTAATTAGGATTATTTCTTTGAAAATTTTTATAAATTATTAGAAAATAATTCATGGCAACAAAATTAAACATTAAATGACGTTGAAGTAGGTATAAAAAAAACAAGTTAACTTTTTTATTCTTGAAAACATTTCAAATGAAAAATAAACCCTACAAATGATTACCAAAAAATAATCTGTTTAACAGATAAATGAATATGTTATTTTAAAAACTTGTTATACTTTCCAATGATGAACATTGAAAAATAAGTGACAGAGAAAAATGTTCTATTCATTGCACCTCTTAATTGCTACTTTTCCCATCTGGTTCAATTTCTTTCAAGCATTTGACATCTTGACATTTGAATTCCAGATCATTTTCAGGAAACACATGTAGATCAGTAAAAATCATCTCAACTCACAAAGGCCAGATGTTAACACGATGATGAAATTTTCAATAACAATTATTATCTACCAGGAAGTTAATAATATAAGTAAAATATTATTTATTTAACTTCAGCAAAGTCGTAAAATAATCCTGGTAAATAAGTGGAATTCAAATAACCAGCTCTCTCATTACACGGTCGACTAAATTTCTAAAGTAGACTGAACTTAAGTCTTAATCCAATGTAAGTTAATTAATCGGCCAAGTTGTGTAATGAAGCATAAAAGAAAATCTTCTTGGTAAATCATTAAAATATTTCTAAAATAATCATTTTTAAAAGTCGTGGTAATAATACTCTGTTTATTCAACATCTATCATCATAACGTAAGACAAATATGATTAATTTAAACTCGCAATTTCATTTTTACAATCCACGTAGATACACGTGCAAAATAGTCAACTAAATCTTAATAATGAAACATTTTTGTCATTCTTAACAATTTCGATAGTACGTAAAAACAATTGCGATGATTGTACAATAATATTATGCAATAGTATAGCATTAATATATAGTCAAATCATTGGTCAATAAATACTTAATCTTCTTTACATAATTTAAAAACCTGCTATGTAATAATATACACTACTATAAACTAGAGATCATCAGCACTCAGTCATTTATCTCAATAGTTAAATAGTGCACGCATGAGTTCTAAAATATTTGCTTATTTCTAACTAATCATGATCATCAATCTCTTATAATAATTAGGCAACACTATGTACACTTCACTTTTTTTTCTCACTTGTATTCATCACTGATGTCCAGAGTTCAACAATTCAACAGAGTCTAGTATTTTTTCTTCAATCCACTTGTTTGAATCCAGAAGTTTATCCGTTGGTATATTGTAATTTCAGTCATTATAGAAGACTTTCAGGCTCTAGAACCAGTAGAGATCTTTGGAATCTTGGACCTGTGGATCGAGACCTGTAAGACAAATCAAACAAGACAATTAGTGACTCTAAATAAACCACAATTTGGAGTTGGCCAAATGAATAATAAATTTTTTGATTTTTTATTTCATTCTTGAACAAATTCTACCAGTTTACGACCTTCTATAGCTCATCATTTGTAGTTTGTCTCGCTTAGTTTCAATAAAGAGAAAAAAAAATGAAACATCGATGGGATTTTGAGTGATGCGAGGGTGCGTATTTGGTGATGGCACCCGCTGTGAAACATGGGACAGAAAGACGAAGAAATTGGTGGACGTTTTCTTTCTCATGCACATCAGTACGTCACAGGATTGACCAGTTGAGATCTCCATGTACTTTTACAATCTTCTTTTATCTTTGATCTCTGTATGAACAAACCTATATCTCTCAACGAGGTTAACTTAACAGATCATCAATGAAGATTGTCTGGTGTTTAGTGTGCGATTCTCTTCATCAAGAGAATGATTCTCTCATCGATAAGCATTTATTCAATATTCAAGTACCAATAAGTTTATTGAGTCGACATGTCTCCTACTCCTTTTTTCAAACACGTGGCGACGCGTGTATATTTCTAGTCTTTAGATTGATACATCTTATAACGATCATGTGTTATGAATAAAAAATATCTACGCGAATATTTCAGCTTCGATGGATAAATATACCTAGAACATGTTATTAAGCTGATGTATACACGTGTCAACGCGTGCTCTATACCTGCATCAAAGTCAAACGTTCTGTGGAAGTACTGAAACATATGGATGGGAGATTCTATCATAGAGAAGTAGAGTGACAAGAGGAAACGCCAAGTGTTATTTGATAGAAAGTCAGTGATCTGGAAAACTATCAATAAGAGATAACTTAGATTTATATCATTTTTTACGTACTTCAAATGCTCACTACGACACCTTTGTTAGCTGGCTTGGAGCACAAATGTTATTTTTTGATAATAGATGGAGATCTTTAATTATCAATGCTTTACAATAACTACATGTAGATGCATCATCAAAGAGTTAATAAAATTTTTTTGTTAATCCATAAAAAATAATATTATTGAACCTAATTTGTCATTTGATACTCCAAAAAATTATTTTAAAGCTCCAGATCTTTATTTTTATTTTAATTTATTTTATAATAAATATTTTCTTGATGTGAAAATGATCATTAGTCTCTGTAGCATTTAATAGTGATAAAAAAGATCGACATTAGGTTTTAAAACTATCTGTAATATTTTATTAATGCTTTGATGTCATTTAAAATAAATTCTTTTCAAAATAATTTGATTGTTTCACAAGGAAACTTTCCTTATAACAAAATAATTATGAATAATATTTATAAAATTGTTTTAGTTGTATTTTATTCGAGCTATAGCTCATCATTTTTTACTTATTTATTTATTTTATTTAGAAAAAGAAAATATTAATTTTTTTCCAATCAATCAGTTTATAATGAATAAAAGAAAATTTCAGAATCTATTATACTATTGTATATATGTATATAAAATGAAAATGATTCTTTGGGATGTTTGCCAGCCCTATTAATTTTCCCTCCCTTCTCCAACAATTATATAGGGGTTGACTTCGTGACACTGCAAATAGTAGCAATATTGTTCGGGTTAGCCGACATACCATTTACTACCCTCAAGAGAATATAAGATAAATAGCAAACCCTTATAATAGTAGTTTTGTCCAAATGGTCAATGTGTCATATAATGTTTATTTTTGAATTATTACACTTTTCTCTTCGTTTACCCAACACCACTATCATTTTCACGGTTTTCTGGAAAATCTCACGGTGATTATGATCACTCGTAAACGATTAACATGGTGGTCTTTGTTATTATATATATCTACAGATATTCATAAATGGATTGAGGATACAATAATGGCTGTGGATGGTATCTTTGATGCTGAAATGATGATATATATTTTCAAGGAACCTCAAAGTAAAAGACACAAAGCAGAAGATGAGCAGAGGGTTAGGAAATGTAGATATGAACCATCAAAAGCTCAGTTATATTACAGATATAGAAATATTATGCATGGACTTTGATATATGTTTTATGCTAAAGGAAATAATTATTAGAATAAATATTTAGGGAATTTATGCTATTATACTCTCTTCATACCTTTGCATAACTCAAAATGATAAACAATCAACAAGCATTTACCCCCTCATATAATTTGATGGTAAAGAAAATTTTCAAGGGATTAGTGAACATTTTCTTAAATTTTATTTTAAACAATAAAGTCAAACATTTGACATGCTTGTAGAAAATTACTGTGACAAATCTTATTTAGTTGCATCAAATTTTTTTGGAGCAAATAAATCTATATTAGTTCAAGCCTAAGTCACATGAATAATCATTAATTTCAACTGATTACATTCGATTAAGTTCAATGAAATCTAAGGCTACACAATGTTACTACAACCGAATCAAATCAGAGTTGTAATTTTGTTTCAGTTGTTGAGGATCACATTAAATGAAGATATTTGCTCCAAAAAAAAAAATGAATGCTCCAAAATGGTCATTTATATTTGAAACACAAAACTGCAGTTTCATTTGAAGTATGAAATATCCAGTGACTGCTATCAATTGAAATATCTCGAAAAGAGTTGAAAAAAAAAATTGTATCTCTACGATGTCTATTTTTAGAAAAATTCTTCATGTAGTTGAATTAATTAAAATTTTTAAATTGATTAATAATTCAATTTTTCAAATTTAGTCAAAGAATACAAGTACATTTATTTGAAATTTGTCAAGTGTTTAGTCACATTTTTGAATGAAAAACATTTTTTTTAATCAGAATTTTTTAAATTATTTTTTGTTTTTTAGAGCTTTTTTCAATTTTAAAAGGAACTCTTGATGACACACGTTTACTAGATTTGTTCTAATTCACTGATTTTGGTAGTTAAGTTTTGGAAAATTATTTCTAAGTACTTTGCAACTGCTTGTGCTCAAGCAAAATTTCACAAATTTTAAAATCAATTTCTATTGTCACTGAATATAGTAAGTTTAATGATAATAGAATATTGAGTGCTTTATTTTATAATGACCTAACTCTGCAATGAATATTATTTCATGCCAATAGTTTCTACATGGTGTGGTTTTACGAACCAAATAAAGCATCGAGTTCTATTGTTAACGAATTTATAGCTGGTAAAGAATGATCTGGACTCCAGGGATCTGCCGGCATATTCAACATCTTTGAAGTCGAGTCTGCTCGAGAGATCGATGTAGCTGGCCGTGTGCGACCACTCCCTCCATTCGAACTGCTGACCAATCGAGACATTGCTGGTCATCCCCAGATAGATCCCCAGATACCCACACGTTCATTTCCATCCTCTTCTCTTTTCTCTCCGACCTCGCAATAATCTTTCTCCCTTTCTTCCTCTCTCTCTGCTTTTTGATTTCTTCTTTCTCTATCATGTACCCGCGAACTCTGTGGTATTATGTGACGTCAAGACGACGCCATTTTCAAGGCGCGTGCCAGGATACGGTAAAAGACGTGTGATTATGTGGCCACTTTAATATGCACTCACTGTCACATTATTTTTTATTTATGCTTCAGAAAAGTTGGGGTTTATCAATTGGAAGTATTATCTTTTATGGTTCAGAAGAATGTCAAACTATTGTGTTAAGTGGACGACAGTTTTTGCATTTATTCAATAGAATATAATTCATTGGATTTCAAAATTGATGTTGATGAAGATTTTTATTAAAAAAAAAAGAATTTTTTGGTCAATTTAGCAGCTAAAAGTTAATTACTTTTTCAATGCAATAATTTGAATGTAATTACAAGACTAAAGAGCTTTTAAATTAATTGAAAAAAATTTAGGGAATATTATTTTATTACTTTTTTAAAGTATCTTCTTTTACCTCAATTTCTTTTATTATAAAATTATAAAACAGAATGATGAGAAAATGTATTTTAACAAATATTTCTTGATCATCAATGTTTTTTTTAATTTGCAAAATTACGGATAATAATCATCGAATTCATCATGGAAAAAAAATTTAAAAACTTCAAACTGGTATTATAATTGATTTTTGGATTTTCAAAATTGATTTATCAATAATTCATCAAAAAGTTCGAGATTTTTAATTTATCTCAATTAAATAATTGATTGGATAAAAATAAAAATAATTTATAATAATTTTTACTGAAAATAACTATTTAAAAAAATTGCATTCCAGAGCTTAAATTAATATTGAAATAATGTACTGTCAAAAATAAAAATTGTCTGAATTCCCCTGAAAATACTTGTCATTGTTTCATCATTGATTTTCATTAAATAAACTAACTAAGATGTTATAATTGTGCAATAAAATAATGTATTCTGTTTATCCGCCAAAGGTGAGATAAAAAAAAAGTTTTTTGTGTAAAACGAAAGTAAAAAAATCAAATGGAAACGATGTTGGGAAATATAATACGAAGAAAACCGATATTTTCCTCTGCTGCGAAGTAGTAAAAGTACTTTTATGCACCGGCTATACGATCAGGTGAGCCTGGAGCAAGTAGAAAAAGACGTTGACCATCTACAGACTGTCGTTTGGGTCGTCAGCTCGTCTACTATAATTGCAATTTATTTCTCTTAATCGCGCTTAAACGCTTGCCAATTTATACTGTTCGAGTTAATTTACGCAATTATATAATTACACCGAGAGTAAAAGAGAAAGAAGGATGGACGTAGAGTGAAATGAGAGAATATAAGCCACGATTCAAAAGCAACAGCACATGTGTACTTGTGTGCAGTCGAAACGAGTTTAGTGTATTTATTCGACCATTAATTACCTAATGGTAATAACGCCATTTAAAATCGGTATTTAATAACTTGACAATATGTCATGGCTGATTAATAAAAAAAGTCATGTCAATAATTATCCTTCCTTTGATTAATTGACGGAAATACTTATTGAAAGATTTCCTTGGGAATAAAATTTTTTTCATCAGAAAATTGTGAAGCGAATATTAATCAGCACCAGGTGGTGAGTAGAAAGATCGACATTTCCCGAGAGTAAGACACGACGTAATGACTATTACCAAGAATGACAAAGTAGCTCCAGGGATTCATACAGTAGCGCACGCCAGTTGAAATAGTGAACGTTGCTGACATTCCTCTAAGCAAATTCTTTAGAACTCGTTTGGTCGGTCCCGTATCGCGAAACGACTCTCGCGAGCGAATATAGCCACAGAGTCTTCAACCTAAACGGGTGTGTGTTCCGAGCAGCATGAGGACATGTCGATGGTGCAGCAATTTTACGAGTTACTTAAGTGAGGAACAGAGGATGTTGTACATGCAGGGTATGAGGGATACCCATACAATACGAGGCTCCTTTCTGTGGGGCCACAATTGCATCGAGGGAGGAGAGTCCGAGCCAACGAGAGGGTTGAACAAATGGCTGCCATAGGTTGGATCAGTGACACAAGAGGGGTCAGAGACGCAACAAGAGTCTCACTATTGATTTTTGAACCTCACCCGTATATGTCTTCATATATAGCTTTTACATACACGTTATCATACATCCGGAATAAAGTGCATTATTGTTTGCAGTTTTGTTTTGTAATGTCACGTTTGTTGGACATTTTTTTCTTTTATTTCTATTTTTATTCTTTTTCGAATGGGTTTGAATTGATTTAGATCAATTCAGGTGAAGTGGCCATGACTTTTTCTATTTTTTGCTATCACCACTTCACTTGAATTGCATCAGAAATATTTTTTTGTCATGGAGTGAATATTATAATAAGCTAAATTACTGTAATAATGATAAGAAATTGATATGTTTATGGATTATAAGTGAAATAGTTTTCTATAATCAGGATAGTAATGTGATATCTATTGCATGACTATTAATCTATAAATCTATCTTTTTTATTATTTTAAATAAATTTTTCTCATAGTTTTTATTAATCAAATTAAAAATAAATCAGATTATTGAGTTAAAAATGCTTCTAACAACAGATAATTAATCGACATTTAATTGAGATCATTTTTGTGAATTATTAAAAAAAATTTTTCTTGCTTTTATGTTTAACAATTAATTTGTTTGCAAATTGATTTTCTTTTAATCAAAAAATTTTTTTCTATTCATTTTTTTTTTTATTCAAGATTTATTTTTTTTTAACCTGTTATATTTAAATGTATTTTTATATTAATAAATAATAAATAAATAGTTCAATAATTATTGGAGCATTAATTAAATATACTGTTGATTAATAATAAAAACATTATTATAATTAATCTACTAAAAAAGAAAAAAATATTTCTGCAGGTTCTTTACAATCATAAAAAATAAATTATTATGAACAAAACATTTCAAACGCTTTTTATTAAAGAAATAAAGTTGTTAAAATAGTATAGACAACAGCACTGATATTAAAGCATTTAGGATTCGGAGTGAAATGTACCGAAAAGAATGAAAATATTCTTGGCTTAATTAGATCAAGTGATTGCATTCGAAGTGAAAAAAAATAAGCATAGGCGTGCAATATTGCGATGTGCAACAAGATAGGCGTGGTTAGCTTGAAGAGGGCGTGTCTTTGAGTTCCGTGGTTGAAGAGTAGGAGCATTATATAGCAGCTGCATTTTTGAAGAGTAAAGACTGAAGGGACGAAAAGTATAAGAGAAGAAATATAAGGGAGACAGCTTTTACACCCGCACAAACTGACCCAGCATTTACACCAGTATGAATACGTTTTTTTGCTACACACGCCTGCCCATTCGTAAACTTCTCCCTATGTCAAACGAGTTCCGTATCTCCTTTGTCTTTAGCCGGCTTTGCACCCTCGTTTAGCTGTCATCACGTTTGACTATACAGAACGTTGCTGCACGCTATACCGTATGGCACATACATATGTGTATATATTTGAGTCAATGTTTTGGTGGACAACTTTTTCGACCATCTCTTCCTAACCGGTTCCTTCCTAATGCACATGGTGGATACAGGAACACAGCCAAAGAACTTATTGGAATCTACTAAATTAGATATTAAGTTGTTATGAAAATATATAATGAGGGTAATTATGTTATGAGGGTTATATTAAGAATACTCTAGAGGATTCAGTTTGGAGCTTGGCTATTTTTAACTTGGTTTTGATACCTTTTAACTCATAAATATAATCATGAGTCTTTTAATTAAGTTGGAATTGAATTCTTTAATTTCAATAAATTTATTTGATCAATTATTTCTTATTATTTTCTTTGGAATGTGAAGGAAATTATTATTATGAACAGGATATTGAATAAAGTTGTGTCAAATGGAGTATAATATTTCTTTAAGCTTAATAAGCATGAAAAATAGTCCAACTTAAGCCAAACATTGGACCCATATATCCCAAATTAATTTATATTTAATTTTATAAATGTTTTAGAATTTTTTTTTTTAATTTGGAATATTAATATTAAGTGTCATTAAACCGGTGTTTTTAGTTGTATGAGGGTGAGAATAAAATAATACTGTTTTAGAGAAATAAGAAATAAAATTCACCAATCAAACTACTGATGATCCAATACCTCTGTAATATTTCTCAAAAAATACTAGCAGTTATTTTCACTTTTTTATTCATTACCTGGCAATATATAATCTTAATTGAATTGGAATTAATTAACACAACGACCTTCCTTGAAAAAAAAACCAGTAAAGTTCGAATTAATTTCTTGATTCCTTTAAAAGGACATGAAGCTACATTGAGTAATAAATAAATCATTTCAATTCTCAAAAGTGTTGATTTTTCAAGAATCACTAAAAGGTCATTCAGCTGCAGGATCTTATTATACCTTATTTATCCTCATGCCTGAGGTAAAAATACCACCGATAAAGAATATTGATGACACTGTCAGGGTAATTTATATCCATACAGAAAAGTAAGCAGAATTATCTCTGAACAATTAAATCCATCAAGATCCAGGAATCAGTCCGTGGGAGCGTTTGGTTTCCTGTCTTATATAATTCGACGGCTGGCAAAAGAGCATACAGGGAGTATATACCTTTTTGCGAACGTGTCTCGAGCACCTTTGGAGGATCAGAGAGCGAAATGTTTTACGGTTAGCTGGGTCTCATCCTGCAGTCTTTTTGTCGCGCGATCATTTCGGTAGAAGAGCCAAAAGTAAGGAGAAGAAAGAGAGAGAGAGAGAGGAGGACGTTATAGCAAAGGGAAGAGTGCGGTGCTATCGGCCGCGGCCTCCATTAAGCTCTTATTAATTGCGGGGATCTGAGGGACCGCCCGTCTTTCTTGTTCTACCTGCGCGCCATTCTCCCATCGCTACGAACCCATCCTGCCATTCTCCCTCGCTCCTTGAGGAGCAGCCGTGCGAGTACATACTGGTTAGAAGAAGACACATGGATAGTGATGGAGTAAGAAAGCAAAAGACTGCGTTTTCATCTTATAATACCGACGATCTTCCCATCCTTTCTTCGATCATTGTGATCGATTACCAAGCGGCTTTCTTAATATCTCAATGTAGCGATCTCCAAGGGACGATGAGATATTATGAATTTTTTCATCCTGCGGAATATAAGTTTAATGTTGCCGCGTCTAAGACGCCTGACACAGAAAATAAGCAATCCTTATGATGTCGTGTGTGATGATGGGAGACTTTTGTAGGATCAAGGGGATGGCTTTATATAGGAAAAGTGGGGCCAACACCGCCCCACGTATGCGTAGGCTTGCAAATAACATGAAAGATATAGAAAGAAAGAAGACGGATGTATATTATTAATAAAACTCTATCATTATTTATAATCGTTATCTTTATTATAAATATTTATATATCGTTTACAAATAACAATTTTACACATGCAACGACGCGTGAACTAGATTTATCTTTCATACATTACATACATGGGGTTGGTGTTGGCTAGTCTACCCCCTTTCTTTCTTAGTCGTATACATATATTTATACGAACTTTAAGAGAATATTTCACGATTATCACACTAAGAAATTTAATTTCATTCCAACAAAAAAATTATTTTCTTTAAACAATCGCAGTTTATTTATTATTAATAACTATTTAGCAGTTTCTTTTTTAATGATTATATTAAGTTAAAATAACAACATTATTTGCGACTGTTAAAAAAAAATTCATTTTGCTAAGAATTATTTATGTTCTTTGTGCATCAAACTACTTATAAATCAATCAATATATCTAAATTTTAAAACTGTACAAATTGATGTAATCATCTGTTTTCTCATTGATATAATTTTATAGATCCTTTTAGAAAGGTATCAAATCTCCTCGCACATTTTTATCAACACTCTTGACTCTTATTTTTCATTTAATAATTTCAATTTTCTATTAATAGCATACACAAATCACCCTGGACCTTTATCGTGATTTACTTCAGGTCCAATACTCACCGGATAGGGGTGCGTAAGGACCATGATAAGGGGGTGCTGAGGACGCGTCTACGAGGGATTGCGATGGCGTCGCAGACGTCCAATCCTTGTAGGACGCAGCAGCATGTGCGTGATGAGCTGCGTGATGTGACGTATGGTGTCCAAGTCCTCTTGCACCACCAAGCAAAAGTCCTCCATAACTGGCGGCTGCAGCCATATTGTGATGATGATATTCGTGAACAGCTCTACAACATCAGGAGAATTATTAACTCTTGCTAGGAGTAAATGAGATTGGATTGATTGTGAATGATCAACAGCTCTTATCAACTTACCTGTGATGATACTGAGGGTAGTGAGGGTGCCATGGATCTGTTGGATACTCATAAACGTCACTGGGGTGTTGACTGTTCCAAAATGACGGTGGAAAATTCCTCGTAGACATGGGAATATTTTCTGAAAGTTAGAAAAAAGTATCATCATCATCTGATAGCTCATAATCATGGAAGATATTCATAAAGATTTCAATCATTTTAAATAATAATTTGTTTTGGATTAATTCATTATTGAATTTTTATAATACATTGAAAGATTAGTTTGAGTTTATCTTATCAAAACAATTTTTTAATATTATATTTAATTTATCTAAATAGGAATGATGAGAGAAGTGATCATCAACACTCTTGGATATCAAACATTTACATTGAAGCAGTTTTTACTTTGATAATTGGAATAGAATGGAATTTTTATTTAATAAATTATAATAATGAGAGAAAATAATCAGTAAGAAGTTGTTGTAAACAAGGTAAGAAATCTAGGATTCAAAGTAACTGTCTCAACAGGATCAATAAAGTCCATTTAAAATCTTAACTGGATGAAAATTATGACAAGAATTTAATTATTAATTAATATCATGAAATTCTAACATGTAAGTATGATTAATAAAGCTATACTTTTAATGGCATTAAATGGAAAAAGTCAATTAAACATTCCAGAAAACTGTTTTTTTATCAGAACAGACCTTTTTTTACAATTCTACTCCATTTTATTGGTTCAATTCAAATTGGCTCCAAAAAAATTCAAACTATTCTGATTGTATTGCTATTATATTCATGAGTGTGCCATAGCTAATATTGAGAAAAATTATGTCACCTAAAACCGGTGTAAATAACCAGCAGTAACATATAAACAAATATCAAAGTAAGCTCAGCTGTTTCTCCTAAAAGCTCTCCGACAACCCAAACTCACCTTTCACCAGAGACTACACATGTGACGAATGAGTATAACCATCGACATGTGTGTTAAAGAAAGAGGTAACTTGAAAAAAATGTAAAAGACCGATAAAATAATCCCATGGGATCGGTTGGCCGCGATGAGAGCTGAAAAGGGTTAAAGCCTAGAGAGATTGTTTTACAAGGGGCCACTCCGAAGCCAGAAGCTTGTCGCGCGCGTTCCCTCCCACGGATTTTGGGATTCCTATCTTTCCTTATTTCACACGGGGCCATTCCTCTTCCGCCGATATCATCGAACCTGTTTCTTCCTTCGACTCATCGAGCTTTTTCGTTAACATCAAAGCCTACATTTTTATATATCTTTACCTTGTGTTATTTTTTTAATTCGCTTTTTGTTTTAGTTGGGTCCCCTGACGTGGTGACGCATCGGATTTACAGACGACGATATTGTAATTCGCTGAGTAGTCGAAAAGAGAGAGGTAGGGAGAGGATAGCCACCCGCGACACGTCTAAAGAACGAAGAAGCCGGCTCCGCATTGTTTCCCACGGATGGAATGCAGGCACAGGGAGTCTTGGGGATGCTCCAACCGTTTGAAATATGCTTCTCGGACGCGCCGCAACTTGCGAATTGGCTTCCACCGACCATACACACCGGCACATCAGTAGTATAGATCCTCTCACTATGCACCCCTCCACCAGGACTAACTATCGCGTTAAATATTGCGATTTGCTTACGACCAGAAGATGCCAGATAGTCGTCTCTCCGCCTTTACTTTCATTATATTCCTTTTTTCTTTGTTTTTTTTTTCTTATTCTGCGTGTCCTCTTCTTCACCCTCCTCTTCTTCCTCCTCTAGTATCTCTATCTTTTCTCTCTTATTCCCCAACAAGCATATCTTTGCCTTTCCCTCTCCTTTCTCTCGCGATCTCTGTCGAGGCCGCAGTCGACAACTGTCCTTTATTTATTAACGCAATTAAAGAAACAGAGTGTCGGTCTCCAGGCGGCTTTCTTCTGTGTACCAGGCACCGAAGTCTCGCGCAAACCAAGAGAGGACAGCACAACATGCAGCCATCAGGCGGATATATGCAAAGAAAGAAGAAAATACTTGGTGAAAACCAACAGACTAACCTGATCCACCAGCGATTGACGTTTACATCCAGAGACCCCTTCACCAAGGTCAACCACAACAGATGTCTCCCGATAAGGATAACTACTCTCCCTGATTAATTCAAATTCACATTCACGCCCTTTAATGACGTCTATTGATTTCCTACATTTTTTCAACTTTATTTCCTGGCAATTGGATTTAATTGGCGCCATTTATTCCAGGTGGGTTCAGTAAGCTTTTTTCTTCCTCCTTTTTCTTTCATTTAACTTGCAAAAATTTATCCCTGTATTGAACGCCATATTTACATTCAGCCAGATTGCTAGACACATCGGATTCATCATTCATGACGTTCTTTGGCATGGATCCAGAAGATAGCTATTATAAAGATGTCGAGAGTGTTCATGCATACTGGTACACGAGGTCTTGGTCTTTTTGCTTTGTGGTGTGGAAGCGATTCGTCAAAACGTAAACTCGCAACGCGAAATTGATGTCACAGCACGACTGGATGGCTTGTTATTCCGATTTAGAGCGTTGTTCCGCGTGTCACGGTGTCTTTGAAGAGTGCACGCACTGCCGTCGCGACGTATTCCCGGGTGTCAAGTAATTGCAGCTTCTGTCGTTCGCTAGGTTTACTTCTCTCCTCCTTGTCTGTTGTAGTGTGTTGTAAAGGCGTTAATTTGACGTTACAGAGCAGAACGACATGCTCAATTTATTTACTCTAACTTTATTATTGTTTTGATGCTGATGATGCTCTAATGTGCTTCATGAATATGATGGTTTATAGAACAAGGAAGAAAATGGAGAAGAGAGGAATATACCACCCAGGAGTATTTTGGGTATTCTCAATTGAGCTTAACATCTTGTAGCTTGTAATATCGTCTTTTTGTCGATATGGATGAAATGAAATTGCATTAATTTTGTTACTTTGGCTGATAAAAGTAAATTTATTGGACTCTGCAGAACTTATGTTTAGATTGAGTAATTGGGGAGGTTGAGGCGAGACAGAAGTTTGTTAATTTACAGAGAAATTAATTGTTTAATTTTATTTGAGTGGAATCTAAAAATACTTTTAATCTATAAAATCTATAATAGATAGATAGAATAATCTTTGGAATAAAATTAAATTTCTGTTTTATAAGTTTAAAATGGTGATGTTTTGAAAGGCTCTTTTTCTCGTAAATGTTTCTTTTTAGTATTAAAAAGAGATCTTTAATTATCAAGTAATTTATTTCTTATATTAATGATTTAATTTTTTTAATATAATCCATCTAATTATCACCAAAATTTATTATTTTTGAAAATTTCAAATTGAACTTTGATCAACTTTTTCATTGTTTTGAGTGTAAAAATGTCTAAATAAATATCTTTGTGACTAAAAATACAGTGGAAAAGAAAATGAGTATTAATGATGAATCATTATTCTATTTAAATTACATGGGATTCTTTTTTTTACATACTTCACACTTCTAACACCAATGAAAATTAAATTTTATCAATTGTTCTAGTATATTAAAAGCACAATATTTTAAAGTAGATTCAAATTTAGAGAAATTCTTTTAACATTATGCAAATGAAGCCCGGATTTATTTTTCCTGAATGTTTATCAAATCATTAATAATTCAACAAAACAAATAATTGCCAACAATTATTCAGAAAAAGAATTTTACTGTGCAAATTAATTTTTTATTCCTAGACTTCACTCGTGAAAAAGAATAAACGTCACTTAAAAAGAAAGCTGACTGTAAAAATGAAAGAGAAATAAGTTAAGGAAAAAGAAGAGAATGTTCTGGATAATAAATAATTGTCATATCCTTAGTAAAATAAATAATGACTCTTAACAATTAATCGTAGGCCAAGATTAAAGCTCGTACTTGAAATGACTCTCTCGTGACTCTGAGATATTAGTGGTTAAATGTTAACACTAGCATATTTCTCGATTTACCCAACTAGATATATTTACGTAAAATCCACAAAACGTCAACGCTTTAGTTTATTTATTACTTTAATTCACAGTCATATCCATCGGTCAATCTTTTAGTGTAATGTTCCAGCAATATTTCTCCTTGAGAACTAGCGATGAAAACGTTCATGTGCATAAGAATTTATCTAGACGACTTACAAACATATCAGCACACACTTCTTCTGCAGCCATGAGGAAATTCTTTGTTAAATCTCTTTGATGTTTTCATCGATCGTTCGAGGGTCTCATTATTTCCGGAGGCGAATACGAGGCCGTGCATGGGTCTTGACAGTTCTCCAACCCTGTATGTACGTTACACTCTCAACATTCCACAAGCTAAAACCGTCCTCCTCCTCATTCTCTTCCACACCACTTTGTGGCTTGCGAGAGACGAGAAGCTCTTAATTTACCGCCGCTGCGTGCACGGGAAAAGAACCAGCAAAAGGAGGAAGCAATGAGAAAAAAGAAGGATAAAGTGAGAGAGAAAAATCGAGCAGCGCAAGAAGAATAAGAGGCACGTAACAATTAGGTCGTGTTGTCTTGAATTCTAAGCAGGATAGTGAACCGATCTTGAGTTGCGGCCGGATAAATGCAGCCTTTAACGATACCGATATAGCCGCAATGCTGATCGCCTGCCAAACCCCCTTACAACACCCGCTTATTTCGTTTTTTCTTCTTTCTGCTTCTCTTCTTCTGTTGCTGCTTCTACGACTTTTCATTGTCTTCTTTGTACACCCCACCCTCTTTTCAATATCCACCCGGGATTTAACTCTCCAAGCACGATGCCGAAACAATTGTTAGGAGCTTGTTAGTGTTGTCAAAGCTAATGGCACACTTTATTACCATTCACTAAATGTCCAAAGTTGCTTTTAAAAATGATCCGAATGCTTTATTATCTTGTCTCTTAATTTACAACTAACCTTTGACTTTGTCATGTGCCAAAGCACGTTGGAAATGTTCCTCTACTTCAGTAGCCGCATCTCCCCGGTAATGTGTAAAGACTACACAATTTGCGTTGACGTATTGTGCCCGACTTTCACCATCATCCGAGTCGTCAGCTGTACCTGCACCCACACCTGAGGAGAATGAAACTAGTCATTTTGACCATGAGAGCATTAAAAAAAACTTGATAGGTGACATTAGGGTGGTGATGGATAATAAATTTACCATCTGTCGATCGGTCATCGTCTAGGGTTCTTGAAGATTGGGATGTAGCTGCTAATGGTGCTCTTGATTGTGGGGTTGGTCTAGGTGATGCTGGACTAGGTGCAGACCCTACTGATCCTGCACTACTGGGCTGACCTTGTGGGACACTTCCACTTGCTGCACACAACTCTATGCCGGCTGCTTCAAGGGATCGTTGATGAACATTTAACTGAAAAAATTCAACATTTTTATTCATCATCAAGAATTTATGTAACCTTTAATTGGAAATTAATTAAATTTATTAGTTTGTAAAAACACAAGGTTCATAGTTTGAATTAAAGATAAAAATCTTCCAAATGAAATTGGAATTGAAGCATAATTTATTTTATGAGAATTAGTTTTGAAAAATATTTTGGTCTTGCAGTTGAATAAATTTTTTGAACCTCAATAAGTAATTGCAGTAAGAAAGAGTATCAAACTTAGTAAAGGAAAACTCTGATCTTACTTTTTTTTATGATTCATTAAAATCCTAAAAATAATTTAAAAAATGATTTTGTTTAGGAATTAATTTAATTTTTTTTTTTAATGATTAATTATCTTTTATAGATGAAAATCCAATATTTTCACACAATAAACAACACAAGAAAATGTTTCTTTTATTGGATCTTATCTCTTCTTCACGAAGAATGCACATCTGGCCAAGCAAAATAAGCCATTAGATGTTATATTCCTAAACATTATACTAGTTGTCCATTGTGGATCAGAATGTGCAAACCACGATTATCTCAAAGAACAATGGAATTTATCACTACAATTGACGAAAAATTCACAACAACATAATCCCAACATCTAACATACATAAATCCCTCATTTTTTATCCTCCAAATTTTAATATACTTAATGACTGTTACGAAAGCTTCAAATATGTATCACTAATTTAGCAAATGAGATGTTGGAATTATTTGAAAACTCTGAATTGAATGAGAAAAAAAGAACACCAAACATTCATTAGAATCTCAAGATTGTTTTGACCAAATTCCTGAATGATTTAGTGTCTTTCCACACGCAGTAGAAAAGCAATTTCAAGTGTTATAAGCGCAACTGATGCTTGTGAATTCTTAGGAAAAACGATCAATGTGATGATCACGATGTTCAAGTCACGTCCGAGCATCCATCTTCATTGGAACGTAGAAACGAGTGGTTGTGGTGACTATAACGGAAGAGATAAAGGGACCAAAGGAGATGGAGAGTTTCATCGAACGCATAGTTACGGCGTCCATTGTACCTCTTGGAATTAGGGGAGGAAATGAGAGATTGGAGGGCAAATGGAAGGACAACGGCCAATTGCAAATAGCATTCGAGTCTTCACTACATAATCCAACATGAGCAGATATCATAACGAGACCAAATAGGATGTAATGCCAGCTATTCGTAAGATTGTGAGGATGCAAATACCACTGTGGGTCACAGCATTCCAGACAAAATTTTTCCTACAACAGCTGCTGTTCAGACTGTATATGGTGGTTATGCCGAACGCGTAACTTTGTCGAAAGGTGGTCCTCAGGCATCCGAAGACACATTGTTAGATACTAGGCAATGCAAGAGATGTAACTCGAGTCAGTGTCATCAGCAGATACACAATCGCGATGATTAAGTGGCAGGTTTAGGCTCAACACTTTTCCACGATCTGTATACACACATTGAGACAGGTTTCTAAAAATATCTCTCACCTGTCTCAAGTCTGCTTGTGGACAAGATTAAAGCTCCGTGGGCGGCAGTTTGTCTCCCTGCTAACTGCCGACACCTGGACGTATACTGAATCTGACGTTTTATCTCTGACACTTTAAGCTTTTTTCATTGAAATTTTTCACATTTTTTTTCTCATGGTGTACATTTCTCCAGGCAGCTAGAGCCTATATGAAAGCAACGTTGGACGACAAAATGAGTCTTTAGCAAGACAGTGAGTTGGGCGTGTATGAATTATGAGCTGAATGCACCAATCCTGATGAAGTTTCATGTCGAATGGACTATAGTGGAGATGCAGAAGCAGCAAATGAGACAAAGAGATATTGCCAGCTAAGATTTCATCATGATTTAGGTGTTTTTTTTTTTATTTTCCTTGATATTTATCAATATCAGTGCTGTTTCATATTTACATTCCATCAGTTATTTTATTTTAAAAATTATATTCATCATTACTTGAATTGTAATGAAAAATTAAATTTTCTTTCGATAAAAAATGATTAATACCTTTTTTAAATTAACTTTTATTCAACAAGTTCAAATTAGCGAACTCAATGAATCATTTTAACTGTATCATTCCATTATATTTATTGTAAACAAATTTTTCTTTAGATTGTTGTCACATCAATCCTCATGCGTACTCTAATTAGTTAGATAGCTATTATAACTATCTTAATTGTATGAGTAAGTGAAATATTGATATCATAACAATACTATGAATTTCAAAGATTAGATAAATAATCTAAAGGGTACGTTATTGTTCCTCCAACTATAAATATTTTACAGTGTACAAATAAAAATGAATCAATCAATACTGCTAATTATTTTCATAATTGCATTCTCCATTCATTGATCGCTGGCGAAAAAAATAAAGAGCACATATCTATGGTAAATATTGTAACAATATGTTTTCTGTACAGATGTATTTCTTGTTGTCCATTTAGTTGGAGTCTTGAGTTGAACAAGAAACCTTTTGATGCATATGTTGGACCTGGCAATAGTCCGCCTAACCAATTACGCTGATACATAAGCAGTGGCTGAGCTGCAGCAGAAATAAGTTGACGGTGATGTATGTCTTTCATGACGCGGTGGGAGTGTGGGCATATTCTTTATCTTCGTCTCCTCAGTTTTAGTGACGCGGTAAATAAAGAACACGAGTATCAGAATGAAAAACACAAAACCAGATACGCCTTCGAGATGTTATCATTATCTGCTCTAATAAACTTTAAGCCGACATTCCACTAGACGGTACATCATCAAAGATGGATTGTCAACGAGTAAATCTCATTCGAAAAAAGTTTGGAGATGATGATACATTTAAAATATTGTAATCACATTGTAAAGTGCGTAACAATTAAGTCGTTTACGCGTGCGTTCAATGCTCCGATCATTTGGGAAGAACGATGAGAGTAAGACACGTGGCTCTGATGAGTTTAATGTAATATATATTATTTTATTGTTTATTTTGCAAGTGTAAATTTTATCTTTATGAGTTCAAATCAAAAATAGTCATCAGAGATAATGAATTAATTTCCAACGATAATTATTATATCGTCATGAAAATAATCGTTCATCAAACAACATTCTGGGATATTATTACAAGACATGATGCAAAGGATATTTTTTAAAAATATTTTCTAAAAAATAGTGAATTCGTTTCTTTAATTATGATCAATAATTAATTGATGTCGACCAAAATAAAAAGGTGAGTTAAAATTATTTTAGCAGCTCAGATAAACTAGGAAGAAGTCATGAACTGTGATAAAAATTACCCAAAAACTCTGGTGAAAATTAAAATAATTACCTTCAAGTGTATTTAATGCAAAGTTGACATAAACCAACTATAAATTTTAACACATTTTGAAAGAAATGAAAAATGACTAAAAAATTATGAGTTTAAATATGAGAACTTAATATTGAAATCACACTTCTAATTTTCAGTGTAAATTTTATCACAATTATTAACTTACCCTTAGTTCATCCACATTGTTATAGTAATTTTTACTCAATAATTTGTATAGAATAGTAAAAAAAAAAACACTTTTATCTGAATACTTTTAAATTAAACTAGAAATACACAACGCGCTCTTTGAGCGTGCGGCCTCAAGTTGATAATATAACGTAAAAAATTATTTAATTTTTATTTTTATTTATTTCGAAAATTTAAAAATAAAATTGACCAACCAGCGCACGAATAAATTAGTTATGCTTTTCTCATTGGTCAATTAAATTTTGCATTCTTTAATTATTTTTTTTTTTTGGTATTTGTTACAGTCATTTAAAAATTTGTTTTTGTTATTATCATTATTGAATTGTAATCTCCGTGATTTTATGAAAAAAAATATTATAAATATTTAATCATATTCACACGAACGGTTTTTGTAATTGTATCTCTTTGCCTGACAATAAGTCATGAGTTTTATTATAATGTGATTGAGATTGATGATTGATGATGATGATCAACTGAAAACTTTATTGGACGTTAATCAATGAAAATTTTGTTAAATTTGTAGATTTTGTATTTGTATATATTTTTTTTGTTATTATGATTGAATGTAAGCATAAACTTTGAAGCTCAATTTTTGATTTAGATGACTAAACGTATTTAATTCCGATAATAGTATTTATTAAAGTCCAGTTTTTTGGAGCAATTACTATCAAATTTATGTTTTTATAACTGTAACTTCGAGAATAAAATTATTTATGTAAAAATTAATCTTTGTTTGGCATTAATTTACATACCTTATCCCAAATAACTCAAAGTCTGATTCAGAAATATTTTTATTATTTTTCTTTGTTGACATTACAGTTTAAATATTCCAATACATTAAAAATAAAAACAAGTCTAGAAATATTGAAATAATCTCTAATTTTTGCGACTAGGTTTTTCCTGAAGAAGACATACATCAACAAATTCGGCAAGTCGGTCCTTTCGCGGTTCTTCAAAGCATTCCAAAATACAAACAAGTTGCTGCTACCTCATTTCTTTTCTCTCTTCTTCACTAGTCTACCTTTTTTCCTCCTTCCTCCCGACTTCTTCGTTTCTCTCTCGTCTCATAAACATTCTGTTCTATGATGAATCCAAAAATAATCACCAACCATTTTTTCGTCATCCCAGCATAACTAATATCATTATCACTCGTCCAAGATTGATAAATAAACAAGCGGATGTGCATTAATTAATGCGTTGAAGATGCGAGAAAATGATTAATATTCTAGGGATTTAAGTTGAGGAAAAAGTGGTCGAGGAGCTTAGAGTTTCATGTAATAGAGAAAGGAAGAAACAATTAGAGAGTGAAAAGGAGAAAGGAAGTTGACTGGACGAACGAGATAAAATAATGGAAAAAAAGGCGGAGGAGGTTGGTAACAAGCTACCATGAGTATCTTGCAATTTGTTTGCTGGACACGACCATTCGTCGACATGATTCTCCTATCTTTACTGAAGATGAGAGAAATCCGGCTCTTTCATTTTCTTCTTTTCTTATT